TCTCATGTTTTCTTGCGGCCCTCTTAAAACTACAATCATCCTTGGCAAGGTTCATTTGACGCTCCCAAAGAAGAACATTTTCTGTAAACTGCAGTTTCTTCTCTAGACAGTGAAATGTGGTTTGTGTCGTAAAAGACTAGGTCAAATGCTCAAATTGTCAAATGACAAAATTTGCAGTCTACACTCACCTGTTCGGTCCACTTACACCATAATACTCGTAACGTTCTTATCTTTTTTCGATAGGCTGAATAAGTTTGAATTCTTCTGTGTTATTAAGGCACGTTCGCTGCATTTTCACTGATTTAGCTTGGTTGATTGTCCCTCATGTTGAAATTTCCCATACATGCTTTTTACACATGGTTGAAGCAATTAGTTACTCGCGGCCACCAGTGAAAGCCCATCAAAAGCAAAACGTAGATTTTAATGGGTTTGAAATGTGCATGAAGTAAAATGAACTCGAATATCTACTATTAAGTTCTTATCTTCTTGAAAACAGCGCTCGAACTTAGAGTATACGAAAGAAAAGTTTCGTTCTTTTTTACCAGCATACCAAAAACATCTACGGCCAGGTGAAATGAACCGAAAAAAGCAACTGATGATATAGAAGCCAAAATTGATAGTATAGGTCACTGATTTTCTTTTTTGCATGGAAAATAATAGTAAAAGTCGATTTATTAGTGGACACATTACGAATCAGTTGCTAATGAAGCTAGTAGTTCACGTTTCCCCTTCAGTACAGGCTGATCGACCGTAGTTGTTCAGTATTCTCTGAATTTTCCTAACATAGCAAAATTTCTAGCAGTTTCCATTTTAATCAAAACCTCAGCATCGATTGAGGAACGCATCTTCCTTTACAGCTGGATAATTTGAAAGACCTAATTTACGCATTGCACTTGGCATAGATTTTGCATAACTTAATATTCTTCGGTAAGGAAGTTACCGCGTGCAATATTCATTGTTTCTCAGTTTCCATTTCGCGCTGAGATACGTTTTTTTTTGTTACGTAGCCTAAGCGAGAAAAAACGTGGCGTGTCTAAAATAAACTGAAACGGTCCCGGTCTTTTCCCAATGATTGCATCGAAGGTTTTGAAAAACTGGTAAACGATCGATCTTATGCATTACTGCGTGACTTTATAGCCAATGCAAGAATATGGCAGTCAGTTAACAACGTGAACTTTTCAAGACATCATTTGCCCTTTCAGGCAATTATTATGATTTATAATGTAGCTTAAGACATGGTATTTTAGGATAACTTGGCCCAAGAAAAATCTACCCCTGCCTTTAAAGTCCAAAGGAATCGTTAAGTCACCCGAAGCGCACACCTTGCATGCATGTTGATGATCGATTGGACTGTTGTGTTCATGTGAACCATTCATGATTTCCCAGTTCCGCAGCCTTACTTGACACTCTGCTAACGCTTTTCGGTTCCACGAGCTTGGTTGATCGAATTCGGAATAATTTCAGCGCTCGCTAGATTCTTGCGTGAATTTCAAAATACCGATATGTAATAACAAACATTTCAACCTTTTTACTGAGAAGCCATAAAATATGTTCTGTATGTTTACTTTTAAGGAAGATAAAACTAAGCTGTTACTGAGCTTACCGTTAGATGTTCACATCCGACTGATTCAGTTAAATGCGCTTTAATCTTAAATCACTAATACAGTTTACTGTACTGTTTGAGAATAAAATAACTCGGCTTCTGACTTCTATTTCGGATCAATCCAGCAGGTCTGTGTTTAGCAGAAAATAGTTAGAAGATCGAGTATTTTAACGATCGTGGCGATTTTTAATGCTGTTGTGAATTGATGACCCTTCTTGGATGAATTCAAATGAGTCATCATTTTGTTTTACCTATCCTGTATGTGGCTAAATACTGGCTTTTTTTTTTTTACCAAAAGAAAAGTAACAAAAACAACAAATCCGCGTCAGAGGTTATTTAACTGAAAAGTCTTCGCTTTTTGAAGACTAACAGTACTCACATGCAGAAGTTCGTCAGATTTCTCGAGACCCGACGGCTGCGTGACAAAAGCCCAGGGTGCAAAACGATCGTGTAATGATAATAATTAGCCACAGGGTGAGCCACACTCTTTACTTTAATCTGGAAGAAATTAAACCGGCAATGATGCGATATTTCGTCGGACTTATATTTTGCAAGGTGCAAACTAAACTTGGTGCAACTTGATTGAGCTAAAAAAATTCAAGTGTTCGATTATCACGATGGGAAACACACGCAAGAGAGGCAATAATAGAACCAGAGGAACAAGGAACGGGTAGAGATGGGGAGGAGAAGAGCAAGTTTAAGACGAAGAACGTGAAACATTCATACGAGGATTTTTGTGATTCTCAAACTTTGATGTTGTTTCTATGAGGCGTAATTGTGTGTGAGAGAGGACTGAATTACGCGGCAGATAATTTGGAAGTTTACTCCTCCACATCAAAGAAAAATAATCGATGTTCCATGAAAACTTCGCTGTTCGACCACACTCTATTCATCGTCATTCACCACTGACGCAGTGCGAGGACAAAAAGGTAACGCAGTTTTAAAAGAATGTAGTTAAGAATAACGGTGTGTGTCTTGTATTAGGTGGTCGTCAGATCTGTTCTAATGTTTTAGTCCCTTTGCAGAACGAATTTCGAAGATAACTTGACAAATTTGTTGATATATTATTTCAACAATACGAATTGTTATGGATAAGATAAAGAGTGCTGTTACATTGCCCACGCAATTATTCTGTAACGTCAATGACTTTAAAAGAGTAGATTCTTAATTGTATTTCTTACTGACTCTAAAGCTTGTTTCGATTTCTGTTGCATGAAGTAACTGAAATATATTGTTAACCCCACTTTAAGGGGTTTCGACTAAATAATTTGATAGTCTCCCAGCGCTTGTAAGACCTCACTCTTACAGCCGCCTCTGTTTAACTTGCGAGCGGACCCGTCATGCTTAGTTTTCGCCACACGACCCAGCTTTTCGGACTTATGAGATCATCGGCAGCCGCTTATGGAAAACGTTCTTGAAAGGGGGTTAGTCCGTTATAGATTTACCCCAGCATAATACCGAAAGTTTGCTGTTTATACTCAGGGCGCGGGGTCGAGAGAAGTTCTGTGGTAAAATATGTAAAGGGTGCCTGTCGGCTATATCTAATTTCCAGCTTTCCTCGAATAACTGCATATTGGGTACGCTGTCGCTTGCTCGAAAAAACTACCAGTTCGTGTCTGTCAGGCTCTATGACTCAGCGGATGAAAAACCTCAGTGTTCTGCTGGCAAAACTATGATAATGGGAAAAGCCATGATCTTTAATAAGTTTTTTCGTTTTTGGCGCAGTTCTGTAAGGATAGTTAAAACATAAAACTCACTAATTTACAAAGGTATTTGTCATCAATATTTGCATCAGTGAATAAACACGAATCACTCTGACAGAGCTGTTATAACAAATTACAAAGGAAAACATTGGGTCCCAACGTTCGTTGTGCGGCCTGTTTCTAAGTGAATTTTGAACATATTTCTAACCGCCTTTGAGTTAATGCTCCTAATATAGCCTGTTTTGTGTAACCCGTTATTTTTAACCCGTCAGATCATTAACGTCCTACTCATTAAAAGTGTAAATTCGGTTGTGGTTCATTTGGTAAATGCACAGTCTCAAATAGACTAAAGGTCCCACAGTAAGACTGAACATTCACCGAATTTCTACAGAAAACCACATGCAAACCTAATGAAAGTGTTTGATGTTTGTTTACTTAGAAATGTGCAAGCGATTCCAAAAATTGTTTTAGTTTTACAATGGCAGAATTTTCTGAAGTTTTGCATACCATAAAAATCCCGAGGTCAAAAATGTTTCCAAGAGTCGAAAACTCGTCGATTTTATGATATGCACAAGCTCGGAACATTCGTTCTCTGAAAAGTAAAGTACGCTTTGGAATCGCTTGACATTTCCGGCACACTACTCGGCGTTTAAGTTCGGTAATAAGTCAATTTGGGGACTCACAGTTGAAAAATTTTTTGTACGTAGTAACCAACTCTTTCCGTTTCGAATACTCAACTTTTAAGGAGTTGTAATTGCCAGGGAAGATAACCACGAAGAGTAACCGCACGATTTTTAACTGATGTTTAGTGCTAGAGAATTAGAAACGCTATTTTTTTAGGGTGGACTACTGGCGGAAACTTGCACTTGGAAGTTGAGCTTTTAATGTGGATTATAGCTGAGTGATCAACTGACGAACATCTACATACAGTGACCTATCATGGAAGTCCGCCGAACACTGATCTGCGTTTGCATGGACGATTGTCTGCGATCAAAACGTCGAATAAATAAACTTAAGCTGCAGCCATCGTTCTTGCGACGTTCTGGGTGGCGATTATTGTCAATTGCTAAAGCCCTCTCGCAATGTCCGGCCTTACGTCCTTCCATCCCTACAGGCCTCTGTCGTCTTATTTCGCTGGATGACACGAATTAAGTAATCAAATATTTAGGAGTAAACTGCATTTCATCTTTCTAGCGCGCGATCCTGTAAAACCGCTTGCAGCTTACCTCTGGAGTTGATTTCAATTGTTTTGTGTTCCGACTTTTGGCGCTACTTGCATGAAACGGTCATCGATAGGTGGACTTGATTACGACTGGTTTTCAGTACCGGCAGCAATCTTAATCATCAAACAGTGAAAACTCCTGGTTGTCCATAGATTAAGAGCTTTACGAGAATAACGCACTGTAAATTTTTCAAACAAACCCTATATCACTTCCTTTTCTTAAAATTGTGCGTGTATGACCCTTTTCTGCTCTAAACGCAAGCTATCTTGTTGAAAACAATAATTTTAACACGTATTTGATCTGCTTTCTTCGAGTAATCGGTTCCCTTTGTTTGGCGTTGACTGACATAACAGATCACGTGGTTTGTAAATCAATACAACGCTACGCTCTGTGTCCTTTACAAGAACGAACTCATCAATCGGCGAAGATACTGCCATAGAAAAAGGTAAATTTCTCTCGTAATTGACCGCTTTTACCCCTGTAATTTATAGATACTTTAGACAAACGTATTCTTCAACAATCTGTGTGAAAACGTTATCAAATAAGATGTTAATCGCGCTGAAAGTAGCGTCTGAGTTTGTGTAAGGTCGTGTGGTTAATTTCGCAACTTGTGGTCAATCGATCAACCAGTACCCGCTTGTTTTGCGACTCGTATAAATCCTCATATTTTTCGCTTTTGATTTATCCAAAATGGCAGTCATTGAGCCGCATTTTGTTCCTTGTAGACGAAGTGTATTTCATTTCTTCAAAGTGCGGGTTCTTGCCTTGACGGTAAAAATTTAGTTCTGTGTTTAAGTGACTTAGTCGCATGCCCGGCCATTATATCGTCACTTTGGACATAGAATTTATTGACAAGACTCTCTGTTCAATCTACTGATAATTCATTTCATATAAAGACCTTACTTTGCCATCTCACTAAACGACTCAGAAACAGGTTGGTGGTTTGTGGAACAAGTTATTTTCATTTTCACTGATTTAGTTCAGTTGACCGTTCCCTCCGTTGACCGTTCTCATGCAGACATGCTTTTTACACATGACTAAGACTTCAGTTTTCTCGCGGTCATTAAAGGAAGCCAGTCAAAAGCGAAACAAACAGTTGAATGGGTTTTGATATATGAAGTGAAATGAGTACGAAATATGAATTATGTTCGTACTTCCGTGAATACAACGTCCAAAATACCCTATATACAGAAGAAATCTTCAGCTGCCGATTTCCTTACCAGCAGGCCACGCTTATCAGCTGCGTGCATAAAAGTTTAAAATAAAGTAACGTGAAGTACTGAATGTCGATTGTTAAGAAGCCAACGTTAATATTAAAGGTAAAGCGTCTCTTTTTCCTTGATAAATAAAAGCTCTCGGCATTGATATATCGAGAGGAGCTCTATAACAAATTCATCTTAAGAATTACAGTCCTCCCCTTAACACGAGTGTATTTGTTCGGTGGTCTCTTCTCAGTTTCACTTTTGCGCTCTTGTTTGCTGTTCCAATTTTATTTGAAACGTTACCATTTAAATGAAGCACTTATTCCCTCAACCAGCTTCACAGTTGAAAAAAGACATATTTACGTGTCAACATGAAATATATCAGTTTGAGCAGAAATAATTCTTCAGCAAAGGTGTCATCAATCGCATTTCACGCCAGTCGCCTTGTCAAGCCTTGCAGCCAGAGCACGCTTTCTTTAGTAGTACACAGACCGTCTGCAGTCGTATTAGAGGTTCAGCATCCGCTTGAAAACGATTCGTGTTGTCGAACATTACGCCCGGTAATTTCAATGAAAGTACGATACCTGTGTAATTTTGGAAAAGTAGACTGAAAAGGTCTTTTCCTGAAATATCATAATATCAATGACAGGTTACGAAACAGCTACATTGAACGGACTGCAGAAAGCACAGTAATAGCAATTTTAGTGTGCAGGACAGAGAAGAGTTCCAGCAAGAAGACCTTTAGCCCGTCAAACAAGGTTCGTACCAAGCTTATACAAAGTTCTATCATCTCACGACTTCTCAAGAACAGCTTTCACCGATGAACCGTGGCGACTGAATACTGCGTGACGTTCGCGAGAATTACAAGAATATTGTACTGAACCTCTCGCTCAGTATGTTACATATTTTTCGCTGGTTCACTTGATTTAAAATGAAAATTACACGATTGCTGAGTGACCTGTATTTTGATAGAATCAGTCGAAAACGAATGGTTCCGTGTCTGCTATGCTGTGGGCCTTCGTTATTTCAGTGTTCGGATACCTGTACTCTGAACGCGACTTGGATTTCATGCAGATTATCACAAGTTCCTATCGTGTGTGTTCCAATCTTCATTAATTTTTTTGTTATTTTGCGCCTCCGCGTCCGAAACCTATAGCTAACTAGCCTTTTAATTTTGAAGATTCCAGGAGTCCAAGGAGGTTCGTTTGACCGCTTCTTGATGATATTCCGAGATATTTCTGTATGAATTAGCAGACTTACTAATATATGATAATCAACCAATATACACCTACCAGTCATCACTTCATGTAGATGTATGTATAGTTACCATGGAAGGGAGGACGGGACAAAACGAATTTTCGCCTGCCCATGGACAGATTAAAATGTTTTCCAATTGTATGCAAGGAATGTGCCGTATGATCTCTGGTTAGTCTTATAATTTTATTTTAGACAAGAAAGCCAACTAACTTCAGTTAGTGTTCGTGTGAACTTTGTGTGAAGTTCAAGGTTTACCCGAATTGTATTTATGCTGCCATAACTTGTAATGACATTCAACAATCGCGTAAACGATTGTTGAAGCTGAAATCGCTTGAAACTCTTTAAAAATACTATTTATTATAGCAGCAATACATGTTTAGACACTGAGAAGAACTCAGGTATTTATATCATTACGAAATTAATTCACCTTTGAGATGTAATTTTACTTTATTTACATCGCGATCGTACGACAAATTATAGGGCTATTCATTCTATATTTAGCGTCAGCACTCAGGAATGAAAACGCTTGTACAATCTGTTGAAAGTGACCACTTGGGGTTTAAGTGCATGTAAATGGGTGCTTTAGGCTATGGGTGGCGAAAGAAGAAAGAGATTCCAACGTGCTGAGTGTACTAAGATGGTTAGCAGAGTTGGTTTGGTTTCAAAGATCTCGCCGCCTCCACACACTTGCCATTGTGAATGTTTTTTTTTTTTTTTTTGATGTGATCAAATGTTAATAAGATACAGAGCTGAATGACTTTTGGAAGGCAAGGATGAAGCTTTTCTGTTCTCCTCTTAACGAAAACAAAGATTTGTATCCCTTATCGAGGTCATGAGAATAAACGAAAAGATCGCCAACTAAAGAAGCGCAAGATTTTTAAGCAAATTCTCCTTACCAGGACTATAGAAAATGTGTAGAGAACAGTATGGAGAATTTGTGCTCTGACGTTAGCGTATGAAGGGTCAAAGAGGAAGACCTATTTTCTTACATAATCGAGGAGACGAGCGAGCCATCAACAGGTTTGCAAGGATATACTTTCGACTGAAAACTAGTACTGGTGAACATACGGTTGAAGGAGAAACTGTTTCCTAACCCTTCGACTCCGAAGACAGGGCTTGTAATTCTCCCCTTTAGCTGCTTTGTATTTCGTTGTTCGTCACGCAGGAGGATAATGATAATACTAATATTAGCGATAACTTTATTTTGACACGAGAACATTGACAAGGTAGGAAAGCTCGTTACAAAAGTGTACGTGTATTTAGAGTAACATCTACGCATTACTTAATGACTGATAACTTTGCCCCTAATCGCCTCTCTCGGTATCCCCTATTTAACAATTATTCCATGAGCGCGCGTTGGATATGAGAAAATAGATAACCAACTCGGCGCTACGCGCCTCGTTGGCTATAATCATCTCTTATTAGATTTTATTAAATTTTTAGCTCCCTTTTAAATTTAAGCTGAAGCGTACGCTTGCCATATTTGTAGATTATGGTATATTGGCTGATATACCATAATGGCTAAGCCAATAAAAAGTCTTGATTTGCATTATCCAATGATCTAGTTTTTAATAAAAGAATTTATAAAATGTTGATCATCCATCGGGAGTCGGAGGGTTTAACAAAGCCGCGAATGTTCATCGACACTCAGAAGATTTACTTAAAATTGTGCCCCGTAAATTTTCAAATTTATTTGAATTACGCTTTTTTTTTAGTTTTCTTTCTCCAGCTTATCCCCACGACTGAATCAAGATGTCTCTACGAACGATGCAACTTCAGGATTTAAACCCTCACATTATGTGCGTGTTATGCGGTGGATACCTAGTGGATGCTACAACCATTGTGGAGTGTCTGCATTCGTGTAAGCGGTCAGATGTTTTTACAACTTCTATTTTCAATGAATGTTACTGTTGGATGTGAGAGACGGGGGGGAGGGGGCTAGAGGTTTTGGTTTTGTCACATTAAAATTTACCTCGTCCCCCCTCATTAGCAGTCAATTTTCTATAATCCCCCCCTCCCATTCTCTTTACACTCTGTCGGCGACGACTGATCCCTCCTCTTTTTCCCCCAAAAACCATGTGATTCCCCAAAATCCTTTCCCCACAGCGATAAAGATTTACCGGTTCCTTATATTTATTGAAAAAATGTGACATTGTAACACTTCATTTATATTTGGACCAAAACAGTTGTTTTGGACAATTATTACTAGGTCGTTTAGCTACGGCTGAGTATATCAAAACACTTAACAAACACAACAAAAGAAAAAAAAAGAAATCAGAGCAAAACAAAGAGAAACAGAACTAAAGAAGGCGAACAAAGATACAAAGAAAAACAAACAAACTAAAGAGTACACACACAAACAAGACAAGACAATCCAACGGAAAAAAAAGCACTTCCAAGAAATTAAAAAGAAAATGGAAATTGTTTTGTAAAATACGATTACTCAGAATTGCTCTTTATCAACTTGATTGGATCGCCTAAGATTTTTTTTTCCATTTTTATCTCCAGTTTGTCGAAGCTGTATCGTTAAATATCTTCAGACCTCGTATCACTGTCCTGTTTGTGATGTTGAAGTCCACAAGACTAAACCGCTTCTTCATATTCGGTAAGCACGGGGCTGGGGAATTTGAATCTTGCTTGGGTGGGGTATAGGGAAATTTGAATCGTCAGTATCAAGTCTTTCCAGCGGAATACTTGTGTTTTATCTTTTAATGTGGAGGCGTGTCAAGGTAAAGAGTTCCCCTTCGCGAGCGAATGGCTCGGAGGAATATATCTGCAAGGTCAAGGTTTTTAAAATTTGGTCAATAACGAGAAAGTCACGGTTGCTGATTTTTTCCTTTCACCAATAAAGACCATCAAAGCTGGCATTTGGCGAGGACACTTGTAAACAATATTGGTCCTGGGGGACGGGAGTTTGAACAAACTTATCTTTAAAAGTTCAAATGCCTGAGGGGTTGCCGGAGCGATTGCTCGCGGGTTTGCTCGCGGGTGACGTTGAAGCTTCGAATAGTCAGCTAGTCTCTTGCAACACATCAGATCGATATCAAGGTATGTTGCCCTGAAGCCCAGTAAATTATACCATATCTATGTTTCATTTTTAGACCTGATAGGACTTTACAAGACATCGTATACAAGATCGTGCCCGGTATTTATCATGGTAAGGAAAAATAACTGTGCTACAAATGTTTTTTTTTTGTGTGTGTGTGTGTATGTGCCATGTCTGGTGTTCACGAAGAACTCTCTTTATTCATAAAATGTTTTTTTGTGTGTGTGTGTGCCATGTCTGGTGTTCACGAAGAACTCTCTTTATTCATAAAATGTTTTTTGTGTGTGTGTGTGTGCCATGTCTGGTGTTCACGAGGAACTCTCTTTATTCATAAAATGTTTTTTTTTGTGTGTGTGTGTGTGCCATGTCTGGTGTTCACGAAGAACTCTCTTTATTCATAAAATGTTTTTTTTTTTTTAGAGGAGGTTAATAGGCGTAAAGAGTTTGAAGAGAGTCAAACTGACAAAAATGAATCAGGTTAGCATTTTTCAGTGTAGTCTTCCCCTATTTTTGTTAATTATCTGTGAATAGACGGTGCAGTGAGCGCTAACCGTTGTTGGGCAAATCTTTGTGAATAATAACGTTCAAATAAAAGATCCTTTTTTTTTTTACTTTATCGTGACTTTATTCAATTATGTCCCCGGAAAGAATGTAGTGAACTCACAAACTATACCTCAGATTTATTTTGATAGTATCGTATAAGTACTCTCTGGCGTTCCCGGAAAGAATGAAGTGAACTCACGGACCTCTTATCTCATTTCATCACACTACGTTTTATCACATTCTCCAGAAGTGTGCAGTCATTTCAGAGACCTTCTACTTTAGTTTTATCAAATTTGTTATTTTATTCCTATCAGTTATTTCTTGTACTTATCCATCATTTTATCAGTTGTTAGATATCTTGTTTTCTGTTTCTCACAGCTACTGAAGAGACAGAAACGTCAAATGACCAAGAAAAAGAAACTCTTCCATTCGAAGATCCTGTTTGCATAACTCTTGAATATTTCAGGTACAAACCAACTTTGACTTCTTTTTAGTTTGAATATATCAGGGATTGGGAGTTAGGCTGAAGAAAAATCGCTAGATGGGGAAGGGCTGATACGTGGGTTTATAGGTACATTCTCCCCGGCAGCATATTTTGCGAATCCAAAGATACGCAACTCCTTATTTTTCTGCTTGAATGATAAATGGAAAGGTGTTAGAGAGCGTATCGATGAAGGAAACCGATAAAGATTGAGAGCCAGCTCGTGTCCCTCCATTGCGTAACTTATCGTACACAGGTGTTTGGAACGCAAGAGTAAAAAGATTTCGTTGTAATTTCGTTTGAATCTATTAAATTGCCCTTCTTTTTTTTTTTTTTTTTTTAGGAAAACAAGGAACCGAATGGAAAAGGAGGTAAAAATGTGCTTTTTTTAACATCATAACGTGTCATCTTTTACTTCACGTTTTGAAGAATCATACAATGGCTCTCCGCTCACACAATAGGATTTAAGAATTCGATCGTCTCAATAAACATTGCATTTGACTCATGAACAACTGCACGCTCAACCTTGGTGACTTCGTTCGCGTTTGAAAAACGATAGTGAATTTCAACGACAAAGGTGGTTTTCAGGACTATCTTCATCTTGACGATCTGACCACACGATCAGATATCGGTTGATTCAGTATGCAGACAAAGCAGTGTAACCTCGTTCTCAAGAAAACCCCTTTTGAACGTCTTCCTATTGAAAAGTTTTACCGTTCACTGGCTCCTCGTCATTTCGGAACTTCACACAAGTGTCATTGCTGGAGCGCGGTTGAAAATTTGGGTCAATGTAATTCTAGGGTAACGAAGAATGTATACCTATTGCTTCCCAGGTCTTCCCGACACGTTATCTGCGCTGTTCTTCAGAAGTGACTGTAAAAGTTCTTAAGAAATTCCTGGTTATGAAGTTTGCTATTCCTGAAACACACATAGTAAGTAAAAGTGAAGCTGGTTGATAAATAGCACATGGAAACAGTCGTGACAACACTTCATCAGGAGCGTTGCGTGACAAGACCGTAGTCACAAAACACTAAATTTAAGGATAAAAATGTAGCTATCTTTTTGCAGTGTAATCATTACTATTTTCCGTGAAGATTCATCGTGATATGTGATATCTTTTTTTGTTTGTGCTCAGATGATGTGTTGACGATTTTTGACGGTTTCAACCTGAATATAAGTCATTTAGAGACGATCTTTAGAAAGAATTTCCTTTAATTCACTATGTTCTTTACGGATTTTTCTTCCAGACTGAGATAATCCGTTCAGATGAAATCTTAGATGGTCACCTGACTATGAAAGAAGTGTGCAGGATATATGGCCTATATTCCAAGGTAGATAATAACATGTATTAATGTAACACTTTAAAACCGGAAACGCCACAACACCTCGGGGAAATTAGATACTTGTAGTTCAAGGGGGTAATATCATAGTTAAAATATCATTGCCTATCGGTTTTCGTAGTCTTTTTTTATCGATTGTGGAAGAAAAAAAGACATCCTACTTTTTTTTTTCCGTTTTTACTTTGTAGCCATTTGTAGATCTACAGTTTGTTTTCCTCGAGAAGAATGATTCAGGGGTGGCGTCTGAGGAAAAGCCCAAGATTCTAGAAGTAAAACGAAAGAAAATTAAAAAACGAAAGGGGAACAAAAACCTCCTGAAGAAATGCCTGGATTCCAACTCCCCTGGCCAATTGAAAAAGAAATTAGGAAAGAAGAAAAAATCTTCATCAAGTCAACCGTGTGAAAGCGGAGGAAAAGTCAAGGTGGAACCCAGTGAACCTCGGTCATTTGAGAACGAAAAGAAAGAGAACCTGGGACTTTCTTCTAACCAGCTGTGCTCGAATATCGAGAAAGGGGCACTGGAGTTTCCTCAAAGACTTGCTTGAGATGAAGTTGAAAATCTTCGTGATCCTAATGCTGAAGAGTCTAACATTAGTTTTCAACCTAAAGCCAACGACGGAAGTAAGCTGATTGTTTACTCTCAAAGAAGCGGGAATTTTAATGAAAACGAACCATCTGTTGCAGACGAAAGTTCTCTTAATAGACTTAATCTCCATGATTTACCAGACGTGTCAGTAAATTCTGATTGGAAAATCGCTGTTAGTCCGTCGAATTCATTACAAGACTCCCAGTCATGCGGAGAACATTTCCCGCCAACGACGAACACGGGTTGTGTAGATGAGACTTCGGTCACTTCGGTCGCGAGTAATTTTACGCATGTGCAGTTGGATGGAAACTGGAAAGGAAAAGAAGTGGACTCCTCAGTATCGAACCATACTAATGACGTTTTCACGAATCACCGTTCAACTGAGTTGGAGTCTCCTAACGTGCTTCTTGGGCTTGGATTGATGTTGGAAACCCTGTAGCAAAAACTCGTAAAAATTCCTTTTCATAAAGGAGCGAATGAGAGGGTGTGTGGTATGACGTGGCGAATGAGACGTTGAATAAAACCGGATATTTCTCCTGATATCAATACTTCTTCCAATCTGGGGCATTATCTCCATCATTCCTTTGATCTCTGTTTTTTAAGATATACTCCTACACGTGGATTGCGACTTCGAATTTTAATTCTAGGCCCAGTTGTTTCAAGGTTAAAGGTATTATCCTTTGCAGCCGTTGTTTGGTCTCGTCATGTAACGCGCTCACTCCCTTTTGTGATGAGAGAGCACGTTGCATGACCAGACCAAACAACGGCTACGGAGAAGACTGGATAGAACTGGTCGGCCTTACTCAGCCTTTGAACAGCTAAGGCTAGAATGAACTCAGTTTTCTCTGAAAGACTAATACCTTGACATTTTAGTTTACTTGCAGTTACATTTTCATTGCGGTCTCGATTTCGCCACCCGGTTGGCTCAATTGGGAGAGCGCCGGACTGCTGTGCGGGAGGTCGAGAGTTCAATACCGGCCGGACCAACACTCAGGGTCTTAACATTAATTGAGAAGAATATGCTTCCTTTCTTTAACATCAAGAAATGGGTTAGATATTCTAGTCTTCTCGGATAGGGACGAATAAATGGAGGTCCCGTCTCCTGCAGGGTTGGGGTAGGAGACGGTAATTTCCCACGCAGGAGATTACTGTGTGATGGATGTCCTCCCTGGGGTGGGTTGGGTGGGTAGGTGAAATCGCTACGGACTAAA